CTGATAAACCATATATATACGACTGTACAGCTTGATGATAAATTCGTTGAAAAGAGTCTCTTCGCTGAATCACTTGTTTTGATTTTTTAAAACGTAGACACATATGATGAAAAACACACCTAGCCGCTTCATGTCTTCTACTTTCAAGGATCATGTCTCACAGCCTCATGACGGAGGGATACAGTAAACTGGTGCGCAGCACACATGTTCTTTTGATCGATAACCGAACATCACTTCTATGCCAGAAATGATGTAAGTTAGCAATTGTCACACGAGTCTTTTGTATCCATACTGAGATTTCATCAGTAATTAGTTCATTGGGGGCTGATATAACTTCGAAAATAAGTGATGAAGTGGTCGACATGTTCAACCACCAACCACTTTACTCGCAATCTTTTTGAAGCTAAGAGTCGATGTAGTTGAGTCCTGTATAGCTGAATAGGAGTATGAGGGAAGGTGATATGAAATTAGATGTTCAAATGAAAATGTGTCATCAGTTCATGAAGTCCTCGACTGTTCTGTCTCAATCAGACAGGTAAAGAGGTGTTGATGATATGGTTGGAGTTCCCGAATCGGTAAGATCTAAGGCCTGGAGACTATTGGTGACATATATATGACTAAAAATCAATTCTCAATGACACAGATGAATTCACTTCACCTCCATGGAACTTCTATGGAAGTCACCAAAGTTCCTTCAAATTTCTTTCTCCGCCTTTATGTATTATGGTGTAGCAATGTTTTGTTAGCAAAGTCCTTTGTATTGAAAACACAGTCATTCATTCCATAAGTCAGTGCAGCGAAATTGAAGATGTGCATTTTATTCTGTCTGCCTTTGGAATATATATCAGTCCGGATTTACTCTCACACGCTTTAGTTGAATAGGATTTTTAGTCGATAGTCTTTGCATTGAGACTCCAGACATCCAAATATCATAAACAGACAACATTTCAAATGTCAGGCTATATAATGGGCTGACAAAATCTCAGCACGGATACAGAATGCTCGTTTGGCATTTATCAGCCAACTTACGTCATCTCTGGCGTAGATATCTGGTCGATTGTCAACCATATGCTCAGTAGTTACCTCCGTCCTCCTTTAAGGCTGTGAGCGAGACATGACCATTGAAACTGGAAGATATGAAGAAGCTGGCTAGCCGTCTCGATCATAGGTGCATGCGTTCTATCTCCCTTGTTAGGCAGTGGTATAATAGCGTGAGAAATATGGAGATTAGGCTTCGGTCGAGTGCTACGTAAGGAAGCAGGGGAAATCAATCGACGAGGCTGGGAAGCAGCTTCATCGATTGAGATTATTAGGGCATACGTACTACGCGTCCCTAACCATCTCCTTCCTCGACAACGGGCAATATTAACTGACATGGGATCGATGAGGTTGGAAAAGAGCTAGCACATACTGGTCAACACCAAAACATGACTTCATCAATCAAAGAACAAATACATAACAGTTAGCTTAAGCCAACCAGCCAGCCACGTGGGGAGGCAGGTGGAGACTGAATGTCTGACTGGTCGGAGTCCTCAGGATGGTAAGAACCAATGAAGGCTGGAGAGGATTAACGGTGATATAGGTCGAAATCCTTGCTGTCAATAACTGATAAAGATGCAGTCACTCTTTGTGATTTATCATATGCAATAAAGTTCTATGTTGAAACCAGCAGGTCAGTCAGTCAATAAGCTAATGCAAGAGGACCTAAAAGTGATCTTACACAGTTTCTATATCACATTATAGAACACTCTCCATGATACGTACAGCAACAACAACAACAAAAAGAACGACGTAGGACATAACATTCATTGAAGTTAATTTGCATGTTAACCTCCTTCTAACACGCAACCCCTCCCCGTCGATACTCATCACTTATCGGTGTGGAGAGGGAAGGGGCGAAATGGGGTTGCAATTACATCTAGCCGACGACGACAAGAAGTCCTAAACAGGACGAAATGACCATGGTTACCGCTAGAGCTTAGTCATCATTTCAAACACTTTAACCCTAGGCTTTAGAGATCGAAGTTCACACACACACACAGAAACACACACATACACACTGAAGGTCAATCAATACAAAAGCGAGTGAGTCACAGAACCCCTACTACTACTACTACTACTGCACAGGATAAATAGCAGTTTTCAAGGGAAAATGTTCTGTCAGTTTCTACAATCAAATCTACACACATAAATACCTATTTATACATATATCCTTGTGCCTATGGAATGAAGAAAACAGAGGAAAGGCAACGCAGTATCGTATATATACACACACACTCTCTCATGGTAGCTAGTCAGTCAGTTGATTGTGGTTAGTGGAGTGTGCAAAAGTGATAACGACAGCACAATGTGATGAAATGTAATTTATTTTACAATACACAATCAGACTACTTCTGCCCATCTCTCTCTCTCTCTGTCTCGCTGTTCACACAAAATAAAATTTCTATGCGATGAAAAATGATGACGATGAAGAAGAAGAGGAGGAACACTGTGCAAAACGACATGAAAAAAAAAGAGAAGAAAAGATAGAAAGATTGGTATAAACAATTATTAAAAAAAACCAGACAGTAGGCATAACAACAACAGCACACCTGAGGGCACACACGCACGCACGCACACTTACACAGCAGGAGTAGTAGTGCAACACACAATGAAAGATATTCAGAAAGGAATTTCAGAGTGGATGGGAGAGAGAGAGGTGGCAGCAGCAGCAACAACACATCATACACGGGAGGGAGGGAGGGATCAGAATCGAGTGAAAATTGTGAAGAATACAGCAATAACAACAATGGAGGAGGAGGAGGCCAAGAAGAAGAAAGATGAAAAGTACGTTTCACGACAAAAATGTCAAGTGTCTGTCTAAGGCAATATTTGTGCATAAAAGCAGAAGTAGAATTAATTTTGTTCACACTACTGCCTAGTAGTGGTAGTAGGAGTATTCAACAGCATGTAAGATTCACAACTGGTGTGATGATGGGTGCACGACGCATCAGGAAAAAAACGATCATATGACGATAGAGAGAGAGAGAGAAGGGAGGAAATAGATAGATGAATACAGCTGTTTTCCTCTGGTTCTGGCACACCTACACCTACACACGCACACACGCAGACACACAAATACACCTATACAAACCACCACCGAATGGCATTTTACAAGAATTGTGTGAATTATATACAGCACTACTAACTGCAGTAGCACGCATAGTGAAACATCGCCGTGTGTTTTTGGTGGTTGGTGGTGTTGCCGCCAGTACAGGGCATATGATACAAACATATGCACACACATGCGTGCACACACACTCAGAGAACGCAGCAACATACTAAGAACAACCCCGTTAAGTGAAATGTTCACACATTATGCCCCTCTTATTGTTATTACTATTATTATGACGGTGATTCGGACTAACAAACAAGATTGTAGTGATGGTGTTGTTCACATCCAACCATAAACAACAAAATGCAAAACAAAAGACGTCAGACAGCTTAACTGTAAACGAAAAATGTTTGCGATAACGATTTCCTTTTATACATCTTTTGCTGTCGAAATTCACAATATACAGTTCAGTTTACCAGAACATTAGAGGTGAAAATGAGATGCACGTAATTAACAGACTATTACTATTACTATTATTATCATTTCAAGTATATTGTACATAGTATACCCGCCACACACCCCCCGCGCACACAATAAACGACTTGGTGTACACAAGCAGGCGAGAGTGGATAGTGGACTTCAGAGTCATCCTCTCCTCGAAATGAATGCTTTCCCGCGGTTATGTGTTCATAGCCCTCCAGTGTACAAGGTAAGTTCTATTTCATGCCTCTTCATCAAGTGGTGGATGCGAGTATTCCTCACAGAAATGAAAGGACAAATGCCAACCAGACTAGTCCTACATAGGAGAGATGTAAGACTCTGATTCCAGAATCAGAATGTATCAAATGATCTGTCTGTCCGTTTACGACATAGAACTTTCCACCGATGTGCAACAGTTCAAGTCGCGACAATCCCCATATGTAGTACACAAGCCAACAGAAGAAAGTACAAGAAATGCATAATACAGACAGTAAACAGAGGTGTGAGACAAAGGAATAGTAATAACGAAGAACAGCAAATATACTTTCATCGGAAATCATAAGTTACAGGGAGTGGATGCATCTGCACCAGCCATTGAGAACGACTTGGAGCCATGTCACCAATTGTTTCCAACCATTGGTGTTTACCGTCCCGAGGACCCCAACCAGTCAGGAAGTCTACACTTTCCTACGTGGCTGGCTTAAACTAACTGTCGTGGATATCATTGACTGATGAAGCCATGTTTTGGTCTGACCACCACTGGCTCTTTTCCATCCTGACCCTATGTCAGCTAACATTCCCTGTCGAGGAAGGAGATGACTAGACAGGTATGCGTAACACATGTCCTAACCATCTCAGTTGATGTAACTTCACAACCTCGTTGATTGATTTCCCCTCCTTACCTAGAACTCGACCGAAGCTTAACCTCAATATTGCTCACTCACCTTGTTATGCCACTTTACACGGTAGGGAGATAGAACGCAGGCAGGCACCTATGATCAAAGACAGCTAGCTAGTCTTTTCATGTCTTCCACTCTCAATGGCCAGGTCTCACAGTCAGCCATGAAGAAGGACGGATCGGACTTCTGAGCAGCACACACGCCCTTTGGTCGATAGCCGACCGGATATCACATCTACTAAGCCAGAGACGGCGTAAACTGGTATATGCGAAACTATCGAATGATGCATGTATGAACTTGTGTTTTGGTGGCCACAGTCAACTCTATGAGTACACTTTTGGGTCTACTGACTTGTGGATTAGACTTCAAGTTAAAAGTTCGAGAGTAGCTCCGCCTCCTCCTTAAGGCAACCACCACCTACTTTGGTCTGGGCATCCAGACACGAAGGTATTCCAGACCTCGCAAAAATTAATAATATCAAATCATCTCATAGTAGTATGAAGTTTATATGAAATCTATATACTTACCTCTTGAACAGGAGCTGTTTGTGATAGGGTATGTAATAATTCATCATGTGATAAACCCGCCAATGATGCTGGTAAATCTGATACCCATAAACATGTTGTTGGTGTACTTGGTGTATAGGCAAGTGAAAGTGGACGACCGCCTAAACGTAAAGGTTCACGTGCATGTGCATTCATTGCACGTATTGGACCACGCATTTCAGCAAATTGTATAAGAGCTGAATGTGAACTTGGTTTGAGTTGTACATTCTAAATAGCGAATATAAATAGGTTGAGAGAAAAACAAATAGTTAAAAAAGAAAGATAATACAGAATACAACTCCAGTATATATTACATAATTTTATTCGATATAGTATACAATGAGTAATATAATAGTAGTATTAATAATTGGATAACATATTTCGAACACAGTTTATACTCTCCCCCATATATCAGGGATAGGGTACGAGGTGTCGTTGCTATTTGCAAGTGTTAGGGGTTGATCCAATGGACAAAGATTCAATGATTCACCTCTCCCTTCAACTGATTATATTTGCTTTTTAATACGTTTACTGTCTCCCAACCAATTGTGTGATCAGCGAGGGACAGGGAAAGCAAGGGAAGCTTCCATTACTCTCAAGTCTGTGTGGAGGTCAACACTCAGCACTCAGCATGAAAATGAAAATGAGATCCGGATTTTCAACTGCAATGTGAAGTCAGTGCTACTCACTGTACGGATCAGAGACTTGGCGCATCATTAGAGGCACCTCAAACAAACTACAGACCTTCATCAACAGCTGGCTTCGCTCAATACTCCACTCAACATCAAATGGCTGGCCAGAAAAGATCAAAAACAGGGATCTCTGAGATCGAACCAACCCAGCAGGAACCGATTGTGAAACAAATAAGGAGGAGGAAATGGAGGTGGATTGGCTGGCCATACCCTGAGGAAACCATCAAGTGAGATCACTAGACAAGCCATTGCTCGAGTGGAACCCGAAAGGGCAGTAGTGAGTTTGTCGTCACTGCAAGGGTAACTTGGAAGAGGTGAAAACCTTAGCAGAGAAACGAACGCAATGGAGAAGTTTGGTTGAAGCCCTGTATTCGTCTAGGAATTAAAGGAAATAATAATGAATAATAGTAATCCCTCCGGTTATAAGGTGAGATTGTAGACTATTCAACTATCACTGGGATCCAACTCAATGACTAGCTAATGAATTACAACTTCTGCCAATTGGTGATGCATTTAGCGTGATTGGCACTAAGCAATGAATGTCATCGATAGCGAGTATTTGTCTTCACAACCGACTACTGGATAGACCCCCCCCCACACACATACACACACACACACTGGTGGTAACGACGTCTCACTAGAACTCTAGACAACATCATTCGGTGGGGGTCGCGGCGTACCGATGATTAGTCACAAACTAAGAAGAAATAGCTGACTGTCCAGTAAGTACTCCAGTGGTGATTATCAATGGTTCTCTAACTGATATCAATCCATGACCAAATTTAAAATAAATTAAGTAGTCCATACAAAAACAAACTCTTAAAAGCATCCCCCTATGTCCTTCTCGCAAAGTAAAAGCAATGTAGGCAGGTATATGAAAACGGCAGCAACAATAAAAAAAAAATTAAGAAACTCACTATTATATCACCAAATTTACGAAATGCTGTAGTCAATTGTTCAGAGGTTACTGGACCAGTTGGTCCGACTGTAAGACCAGCAACATGTAGAGTTCTTGTCGGGGATTTATTCAGCATGAGTTGTTGTTGTTGATCTTCACTTGTTGAATGAGTAGAATTCAGTGTTTTATTATTCTGTGTTGATGATGACAAGGATGAATGAACTGTTAAGTGATGATTATTATCATTCATTTTGATATTTACTCCCAAAGGTGTGCTTGACGCTGCTGAAGAACGTTTAACGGATATCTCATCAGTGCCTAAAAAAGTATTTTAAAAAATGGATAAAACAGGTGTTCAGTTCACTTGAAACATACACAGAGAGAAACACAAAGAGACTCAGATAAAACTAGTGTTCACGTTCTGGTCGACAAGCACTTGGACTCATGTGAAAAATGGGCTAAATCCATTTTATCTAACTCACACCGCCATCATGTGGGTCGGTGGCACAGTGGTTAGGAATCTCGCCGATCATCCACATGGTCCGAGGTTCGATCCCCTGTCGACGACGCACACCTGATATCTATAGTCAGCATGCAAAATTTGGGCTACTGATATCACATGCTGAAAATTCCATACTTGTACCAAAAATACGGTGGGTAATCAAGCTATGCAATCGAAAATAAAAAATAAAACTCTCCCCTTGTATCTATCTCATCAGGCAAAACCAGAAGCCTATATAGAAAACTATATGCTCTCACCAGTAAGTACAAAAACTCAACCATACCCTAGCTCGTGTTCTGTGCGATAAAGAAAGCATTAGGCATGATACCTATGACTTATTAAATAGTCAGTAGAACAACTGGACCTCGTCTTTCCAACTCATATCATTTATAGGAACAACGTTTTCTTTCTCTCTTTTCCTTTTCTCTGTCACTTTTTCTGTTATGTGCTGCTTTGTTTCTTTCTTCCTTACAAACTCTACTTAAAACATTCTTCTTTGTCCTTTCACACCGCTTGCGCCAGTAACTATGGTAGTATCTATTTTTCTAACACCTTCAAACACTCTGTCCAATTTTGGCTTTGCTACCGATATGCTAATACGTTGTTGTTGAAACGAACTGAGACTACCCTTAATCTATGCAGAACTTTATTTATTGTTAATGTACTAATTGGATGCGCAATATTGTAGTGAAATGCTGAGAATTCCATTCTGTATCACAAGTACTGTTTTGGAATAAAGCAAATTATTATTATTATTAGTGTAATGTATCTAGTCCTATTTTCGGCACAGACTGAATTCTATCAGTCAGCCAAGTTTACAATGTAGGGCCACCATGCCGCTAGGTGGCTTGCCATCGCGATGTACTGTGAAATATTGGTATTAGGTGGTTGCAGTAAAAATCAGAAGGAAGTATTGCTTGACCTAGGGGTTTCGTGCTAGCTGGCACTCACACCAGTCAGAAAAACGCGTATATCTACAACCACCTCGAAGGAATAACTCATGCCCCGCCTTCTGACACTCGAACCCGCGACACACAGTGAGTGCTGCAGTCAGAGACGTTACCACTGCGGAGCTATTCGGTCTGGCTCGCAATTGTTTTTCTGTAGAATGGATGGTATTGGATATTTTTGATTGGACACTAGTCAGTAATTAACTAGTGTGTGTAATGTGTCTAGTCCTATTTCCGGTGCAGATTGAATTCGAACATTCACTCTCGGACATATCCCCAACCACCTCCCAACTCGACACTTCCTCTATTCAGGTTCCACTCGACGACCCGATTGATGTGTGATGTCATTTAAAGGTTCCGCTTCACAATGCGTATGTCCATATCCATCTTGATTTCTTTCTGCGTATTTGTTAGTCAACTCTCTCTCTCCCTATCTGTCAGAGTTCCATGTTGCCTAAACTTTCTGACTCACCATGATCTGATCTTCAGCACTGAACGATTGACGATAGGTGAGATGTGAAAGTCCTCAGCCATCTGTTGGAAATGCCCTTATCACAGTAGGGTGTATTCTAAGTTTCTCAACCATATATACAAGCACTTGCTAAAGATGCACCATTTTGAACGACTTTGAACCACATCACAGCCACCCCACCACCTATTGATTTTTTTAAATATAATCCCAAAGGCCTTAAAGCCTAGACCAGTCAGTAGTCAATGAACTTCACGGATTTAGTTCAATGCTCCGGTCTGAATTCTTTTCCAACATAATCCGAATTCAGTTAACATTGTATGTCAACGTATGTATTACTCTGCACCGTGTCCACCAAAATTGATTAAGCTTTCCACACAACCCCCTATCGATCGATTTCATACTCCCGTTACCTTACCTTACATTACACTGACACATTATTCATTACTAAGTTCTTCATATGACAAGACAGCAGAGAAATAGAGAGTAGCAACCCCCCTCCCTCTATGAATTACACGTACCTTTTGATGGATAGCTGGGTATATCATGGGTGCGTCGGTGGCACAGCGGTTAGGACGTTCGCCGACCATGCACATGGTCCGGGATTCGATCCCCGGCCACTGACTCACTCCTTTATCTCGCTAAGCCAGAAGTAAGGCTGGTAAAGAGGAAAGGTTGGGCCAGGGTGAGGCTAGCAACTCCATCCTGTAAAAATAAACACCACTGCTACAGAAACTTCAAGCCACTAGCTTGAGAGTCCCCTATGTTCCACTGGGGACGTGAAGGGAAAAACATGGATATATCATGCCTGTGGGAGACACATGATATGAGTTGACGAATACCAATCACCAATTAGAGAATCACTGAAAACCAGCACTAGAGTACTGGACAGCCGTTTCGTCCTAGTTTGGGACTCATCGTCATCAGAGTTCTAACCCAGGCGACCTTACCGGTTACAAAGCAAGTTCGTTCGTAGCAGACCATTTCTAATCCACTGGGACACGATTCAATGAATTCTAACCTCTACCAAGTAGTGACTATAGCGTGACCACCGCCTAGTAAGTGGTTTTCAATGGTTCTCTAACCTACTTATATATCAAATCGTGATCAACCCTGCACTGCACTGCAACAAAACTAACTCTAACTGATACCAGTGCCCAGATATAATAAATGAAATGATCTACACACATTCAACTCCTCTTAACACTACTTATTCATCCCCACAAAGGAGTTCACAGCAGCTTAAAGCTGAAATCTTAATTCGTTCTTTTTCAAAATAGATTTTTACCATGTGAAATCGTATAGACAGAAAGAGAACAAACGAATAAACAATCGAATTACTACTGTGTGAGTCAATTTAAATCAACTGCCACCGTTACAACAAACATAAATCAATCAATATACTTCAGTCTATCTGTGTAAACATTGTAAAGCTATACTTTGATCATATGTTCACGCAGTAATATGTATAAGTGGAGAAATGCCGCTGTGTGTGTGTGTGTGTGTGTGTTGATATCACATAATAACTAAACAACACTAGAAACACACTACACAGTAGAGTTTTATATTCCAGATACTAAACTCAGACATGTGATATTATGATTGACAAGCATCGAATAGCGAGAGACGACTTTAGTAAAAACTTTTATTATAATGAATATATCACGCATATTCCACATATGTCCAATGTCCAAATTTTTTCAAACTGTTAAAAGTGAACTTGGTTCGGACATATGCATATAAGAAATGAAGATAAATGCAGGCGAATGACCATCGCACACACACACACACACGCACAACTCCGTCTCCTGAGCAGTTCCAATCACGGTAGCTACAGGCTCATGGGGTTTCAGGCCTAATTTTCGAACTTTCCATAGCATCTTGTGCTGTTTCTATAGAGTGAGGTTGCCTAGGCTTACGCCTAAGCTTCCCTCCTTACCGGGTTCACTTCAAATTAGTAGAGGTGTAGTAGGCATATATCGGCAAGGAATCGGACCACAAACCACACACGCGTGGTTGGCGAGTATTCTTGCCTCGTTGGACCACCACCGACACACATCTACGACTTTATGGACTCATCAGATTCGACATTCTACTTTTGAACATCGGATCGAGGATAAGAATCCCCCACTACATCTACCGAGATTAGGTTGACAGTCAATCACACGATTCACTGTCAAGTGGAATAACGGAACTAGTGGGTCTTGGAGTTCATAAAGAGTGAATGCACCTAAGATATTGAAAATGATATTGAACTATACTGTTACAACCACAGTCTCAAGTCACTGGTTTTTGGAAGCTCTAGGGCCTCCTAAATTAGACAATCTACAGCTCCCCTCTACATGACTGACGCTCAAAGAGCCAATAGTCCAAGAATTTAGATTTGGCTAACTAACGTGGCCGAATGATACCAACTGTCAACACCTTCATGGACTGATGATGATATGTTTTAGTTTGACCACTACTTCCAACTTTTTTTTCAACTTAATTAGATGTCAGTTTACATTGCTTGACGAGAAAGGGTGATGGTTTAATATGCGTAAATACTCTTATGCTAGCGACATCACAATCGATACAGCTCCTCCTTACCTAACAACACGCTACACCTAACCACAATAGCTATCGTCTCATTATACCACTTAACATAGGAGGAGGTATAGACTGTAGAATGCTTATTATAATAATACACAGGGAAAAAACAAGTAGGAGGGTGGTTGGGTGGATGGTGAAGTAACTTACCATTTGTACCTGGATGTAATTCAACAGTAACAGGAGTAGAGAATAATATTTTAGCTCCGCCTTGAATTGCTTGATAAGCACATTCAGCTTCTTCTGGACGTCGAAATGTTACAATAGCTATTCTAGTTGCTGATGTTGTTGTCGAAGGTGGCGGTGATACAATCGACTGAATACGACCACAACGTCGAAATTCCGTAAATAAACTTTGTCTTAATTGAGCATCAGATAGCTTACTCGCTGGTGGTAAATCACTAATTTTTAAACCACGATATGTATTTGTTGTTGGTGTTGATGATGTTGGTGGTGGTATACGTGTTGTTGTTGTTGTTAATGTTGAACTTTGTACTGGACGAAATACTTGATTGAACATTTGAACATTCGATGTAAGATTTGAGGAATTATTATTATTACTATTGGTATTATTGCTGGTACTACGTTTAAATATCAATGGACCTCTGCCTAGTTGTTCATTGTTAGGCAGCGAATTATGATGATGATGCTGATGATGATGGTGTGAATCATTAGATCCTTTATGCAGAGAGTTAACCCTATTAAAGAAATAAATAAATAAAGATAAATAAAATAAATAATTTATCTAAGGGAGAAAAATTGATTTTTTATACAGGCATACATATTATATGAACATAACTCTTGAGACAATAGTGCTTTGGGGCCTACCATCGGTTTAGACGCACTCAACTCTCAGTTATGGGTTCGAATCCCTTATACTCCACCTAATTGAATCTAGTCAGCTGAGTAGTAGTGTATTCCAAGCTTTCTTAAACGAAAAGTGTAGCTAACAGTCAGTGGCATATGAAGAAAAAACTGGTTAGCACTCACGAGGTGTGCAACATTGATGGCACTGATATAGAGACCAAGTCGGAGATTAAATATCTTGGCGTCATTCTATCTGATGATCTTTCCTGGTCGTCTCATATCTTCATGATTTCCAAGAAAATATTCCGTCTCACCTTCTACAACAAGAAGTTCAGACATTATGGAATAACCCAACCTAACTCTTACTCTTACGATTCGTTAACTCTTGCATCCTGCCTATTATTCTCTATTGTTCCCCCTTAGTTTTTCCAGGGCTGGCTACTGAAGAAAGACTATACCTTATTACGCAGGATGTTAAAGGTTGTCAGCAGGGTAAGCCACAGGGTGCCACTTAACCAGCTGGTTAATATTCTGGTCTACAGGCACTTGGACTCATGTGAAAAATAGGCTACATCCCTTCTATCTAACTCACACCACCCTCTTCATTCATTCACAACTCTCCCCATGTATATATCTCATCAGACAGAACCAGAAGCCTATATAGAAAACTATATGCTCTCACCAGTAAGTACAAAAACTCAACCATACCCTATCTACTTGGCTCGTTCGTGTTCTGTGCTATAAAGAAAGTATTAGGCGTGATACCTATAACTTATTAAATAATCAGTAGAACAACTGGATCTCGTCTTTCCAACTCATAACATTTATAGGTACGTTTTCTTTCTTTCTTTTCCTTTTCTCTCTATCTCTTTTTCTCTGTTATGTGCAGCTTTGTTTCTTTCTTCTGTTTACGCCAGTAAATATGCTAGAACCTACTTTTCTAACACCTTCTAACACTGTTTAATTTTGGCTTTGCTACCGACCGACGTGCTAATATGTTGTTGTCAAAACTAACTGAGATTACCCTTAATCTATGTAGAACTTTATTTACAGTTAATGTACAAACTGGATGCAATACTGTATGTAGTGAAATGGTGAGAATTCCATTCTGTATCACAAGTACTGTTTTGAAATAAAGCTATTATTATCTTATCTTTAAAAAAGCCTGTCGCAAGTAAAGTAATATGCTTTTCAGTACTTAAATTGAATGTATCCCTAAATGATGGTATATCGGTGGCACAGTGGTTAGGAGTCTCGCTGACCATGCACATGGTTCGAGGTTCGATCCCCTGCCGACGACGCACACCTGATATTTATGGTCGGCCGGCAAAATTTGGGCTACCGATATCCATGCTGAAAATTCCATACATGTACCAAAAATACAGTGTGGAATCAAGCTGTAATTTAAAAAAAATGATTACTGATTCTGTTATTCTCCGCTCTTATAACATCGTAACTATCGCTTCGTATAAGTAGTAGTAGTAGTAACTATTATGCTACGTGGTATAGTCGTTACTCATTATACTGGTGTTATTCTAATTCGTCCATGACTAATGAAAGATCCTCTCTACGTGGAATCTTTCAATTAATACTTCTTACAAGCATTGTCAACGTAAACTAATATCACTCAATGCATGTCTCACTCGTACACACACACACGCACACACACACACAAACAAACAAACAAAACCCCTTCGCAATGGAAATACTTTTCCTTCATTGCTCCCCGTTTTTCACAAATGGAACAAATGGACCTTTCAGCTTTTCGGGGTGAGATAGCTTAGCCAGTCTCACAAAGTCAACCTTTCCAACTTTGCGGATTTACCACCCATCCATCAACTAAGCGAGACTTTGGGAGTGCATTTAGTCGAAGAAATCGAATTCCTGACTAAGTGAGTATGTTGGTGAGCAACCACCACCGACGGTCGATGTGAGATTAAATAGCTTTGGTCAATGATTCAGTGAAGAGACTCTTTCCAAAGTACTTATTATCAAGAAGTGGCCTGTGAGGAAATTGAAACAAAGGTGTGAATACTTAAGATGAGAAAAGCATGAACTGTAATTAAAATGTTTATGATTATAATCATAGTTAAATATCAAGTGGTAATTATGTCATAGTTTATGGATCTCGGCAAAGTCATAAAAAATTTAGGATTAGTAGGCAAATAAAACAAATGTTACGTAACGTGATGTGAAATTCGACAGGATAGAATTTAAAATTGCCAAAAACAATTTAAAAAAAAATTTAGAATGATACATCAGAAACGTGAAATAATACCGGAAATAGTTCAGAGCGAGAATAATCATGGGAATAATAGTAGTAATAATAATAATCCTATAGTTTACACCCCGTTTCCAACATCTATACATCCTTCCATAACGGATAAAAATTTTATTTTGATAAACGTACACTTCACTACAGGCGGAACTAACGAGGATATCAAAGCAGCGAGGATAGGGAAAGCAAGGGAAGCTTTCATTACTCCCACGAAGTCTGTGTGGAGGAGATCAACAGCACAGCCAGCATGGAAAATAAGATTCGGATTTTTAGCTCCAATGGGAAGTCAGTGCTACTCACTATACGGATCAGAGACTTGGCGCGTCATAAAGAGCACCTCAAACAAACTACAAACCATCAACAGCTGTCTTCGCTCAATATTTCGCTTAGAATCATATGGCTGGCCAGAAAAGATCAGGAACAGGGAGGGATCTCTGGCAATGTGCGAACCAATTGTGCAACAAATATGCAGGAAGAAATGGAAGTGGATTGGTTCGTCATACTCTGAGCGAACAAACCATCAAATGAGTGACATCACACGCCAGGCTCTCTCTTGAGTGGAACCCGAATGGGAAGCGGCGAGTCGATCATGAGTGCGAGGGTGGGGTGATATGGAGGTGATGTGAAGAGGAGATGGAAGCATGTGGGCAGACATGAAGCCAGGTGAAAACGTCGACGGAGAGTTGAACTCAATGGAGACGTGTGGGTGAAGCCCTATGTTCCACTACGAATTAAAAGGAACAATAATAATACAGTGGTATACAGCCATATTTACTGATGACATTTCGAGTACAATTTACATTACTGCTCATAATAATACCAAGGTACTCAGACAACTTTCTCGCTTCGTTTATATATAGGAAATCTAACACTGTGTGACTATATCAAAATGAAATTTTTATCCATAATGGAATTATAATCTATTACCGTGCCTAATTTTTATCCTTATATTTATACATTCTAGGAAACTATTCTACGCATCACCAAAAAAAAGAAAAAGCAATCAAATATTGCAGTGGTATTTATATCGATCATTAAAACAAAACAAAAAAACTGAACATTAGGTCATTCTTTTGTAAGCAAAGTTAGTAATTAGAAAAACCCCACGAAGAGGTTGAAAGACATTCACAGTAATTTAATAAAATAATTACAACGGAATCACACATACAAATTGGCACATACTTTTTGATCTACGTTAAATTAAAATGAGTTAATTCCAAGTAATAAACCATGGTAGAATGGTACATGAAGAGGCTTGAAGGGTTCGATATATTCCCGAGGCTGAAACGTACTCCTAAATCTCGCGTCTAGTAAGCCCAGGATAAGAGGGGAACTTGAGCTTTACGCTAGCGCACTCCATGCTTCATAAGAAAAACACCACCACGATTAATAAAAATTCAAAGCTTTAAGGTCTACATATTCCAATATCACCAATCGAAATACAAGAAATTAATTAAGAAGTAAATAAATAAATAAAGCAAATACTAGTAGTAGTATTGAAGAAAAATATAATAATAATAATAATTAATGAAATAGGACAAATAGAGGGGAATGTAGAATGTACAAATCCGTATTTCTAAAAAATATGCACAACCATCAAGGAACAACTGTCAATTAAAAATATGAACTGAAGTTCATAAAAAGCCCACAACAGATCAATGAAACAAACTATTTATGTTGAAATTTCTCGGGAAAAAGAACATAATATATATTTCTCTTAGTTACCCGTTACATTTTGAATCTTAGTTTCTAACGCACTACTCCGAGACTGTATGTAGCAACCTAAGAGAGTAGTAATAATTTAATCTCGTTTTTGTTTCCTTCACGTTCCCAGTGAAACACAGGGCTTCAAGCTAGTAGCTTGAATCCCCCCCCCAAAAAGAACTGAGAAAAACTTAACATGGATATTTTATTAAAATTAAATTACCTTTCAAGTTCAGATTAGGGGCTTGATCATCAAACGCTTAAAAGCGTATAATTAGGAATAAATAGGAATAATTCTAAATAATTCAATTAAAACTTGTATCACCGTATTGACACCTAACAGATGGAAGCTAGAGTAGGATTTGGAATCCTAAATTTTACTTAGCAACAAGTTGAACAATTAAACCAAAGAAGTATAATGTGTAGTAAGTACATCGCCGCTAATGTCAAAATAAACTTGGTTGGAATAAATCATCCAAAATAGATGGATAAACACGCTTAACAGGATTTTTGTAATAAAGTGTAATAAATGTGCAACAGATCTGTTCTTCACAAGTGTCAATCTCGTTCGACAACTATCTTAAGTTGGCCAATACAACTAACTAACTGCCTTATTTAATATCTATTTTTAAGAAATATACGATACAATCAAAACTTGCTATACTTAGTAATAATAATAATAATATATTCTCATTTTTGTACATGAGGGACACCAGTTTATAGGCATCATCAATTCGATAAATTACACATACGATTTTGATAGCATCATTAGAAGACGGAGACTATGACGCTATCAAAATTTATAAAAGGGATTAATTGTTTTATACATACGATTACTAAGCATAGTTAGTAAGGATAATATAATAAGGTACATATTTATTCCAGTTGTATAGGCATGGATAAGTATTA